GGAGCCTGAGCTCCACAAAACAAAAGCAAAGTGGCTTTTCCAGCTTCCCAAGGCCTACATGCAAGAGGAAGAAATGTCAATGTAGTGCCCAGTTGCCAAACAAGCTCCTTTTTGATGCCAGCATTATCCCATGGCAGTCAAGGAATAGGGAAGATTTCCTCCCAAAGTGTGCTCTGACAGGCACATCAGGGCAAAGGACTGAGCTTTCCTGAATGGGATGGACGGAATGGAAAAGGGAGCTTCTGGCTGGCACTGGGAGCATATACTCTTAATTATAATGTGAATTGATGGGGCCCTCTGGACACTTGAGAAAGGAAAATGAATTAAAAACCAGCCCAAAGCTCAGCTCAGGTAGGCACAGAGGCTCTGCAGGGCTCAGGTGTGTGCAGGGAAGGGGAGCACAGCTCAGAGCCCCAGGGAAGGAAACACTCCTCGTGTGCACTGGGACAAGTCACAAGGGAAGGGGGGAAAGGAGGGGCTCCAACACCAAACTGTGCTGCAGGATTTACCAGGTCCCTCACAAAACAGCAGGATTTGGTCAAGTCTTTTGAACCAACAGCTGACATTGTTCCTGTTCCACTTCAGATTCAATCAAGATTTCAAACTGATTAACTCGTTTTCAACATGAAAAAAAAAACAGTAACAACAAACAAAAGCAAACAAACAATAATTAAACCCAGTCACAACTTCAAATTTTGGAAAATGTGACATAAAACATTGAAAAGGACACCATGTCAGCTTCCTAAGATCACTTCCACAGCAAGACATCATCCTGAAGAACCCAAACTCAACAAACCCCTGTTGTTATTTGAGAAGAAAAATGAGTATCAAACTCATCAGCAGCCCAACAAGTAAGTACACAATAAAAAACCAGTCTCACAGATTATAAGCAAACATGATGCAGGCTATGGGTGCACTAAGTCAGCCAGGAACAGCACTGAGCTCACAGAGACCCTAGGAAAATATTGGTATTCAGCAAACTGCAGTCTAGACAGTCTCCTCTTTTCCCAGAGGACATTTATTTCCTCCTAGACAGCTGCACACACTGTAAAAGAAATCTTAAAACCAACCTGCCCAAGAAACACAATCATATCTTCAAACAAACCTTTCTTAGGCCGAGGTTTCGGAGGTTCTGTAGCCGCCGGCAACGAAGGAACCTGGAAAGACAGAAAACAGGAGCACTAAATACACCAGGCAAGGCTTCCTGGAGCTCTGCTCCAGAAAATAATCAGAAAGGACAACTGGCAAATCCCAAAAGAGAGCATAAAAATAGCAGCATTGCTGCTGGACAAACTCTGCCCTGCCAAGCAAGGATGAGAGTTCTGTTCCATGGGTAGATTGAATCGACCCCCCTCACTGTGCAGCTCATTCCCCTTCTGTGGGTTCACTGCTGTCCATCAGCATCCTGGAAAGGCAGCATTACCTTGCAAAAGAGCAATACCCAAGCATTTAAGATGCTAATTAGAGCTCACACAGAAAATAAGTAAAAAAAACCCATTTATTATAAAATATTTATGAAGGTAATTAGAGCAGAGCTGTTCCTGGGGAACCCCCCGGGCCCGCAGGGGGTGAGGGCAGCAAACCTCGACCTGCAAACACTGCCCAGAGCTCCCAGGCCATGGAAGATAAATGCACTTTTTACCATTTCCTTACTTTGCATCAAAAATCAAGCCTTCCCAGAAGAGAAACAGGATTACACAGGGAAGCACTTTTATTATTTACTTCAATATTTGGGGAAGAAACACTCCTCACTCCTCTTCCCCAGAGACAACACAGGATTTCATACACCTGTGTCTCCTCCCCTCTCCTTAATTAACAATCTTTTAAAGCACAGATTCAGTCAATCCTTGCTCCTTGCAATGTTTTGGGAACATTTTCTGAGTGAATATTTTCACACAATTCCCCAAAGCCAAGCACTCATTCCTCAGCAGCAATAACCAGCACCAACCCCTCATTTTTTTGATCTGTTAAAAAACCTTTTTTTTAATCTGCACCCATCAATCCAATTCTAAGTCCTCTCCCTCAGCACTGTTGAGACTTCCCAGCAGTTTCTTGTATTTCCTCCTCACCTGAGTTACTTTCTAGTCAGGCTTTTGTGCAGATCATTTCTAGACACACTGAACAACCCAGGCCTGGGGGAATTCACAGCAACCACCCTCCAGCACAGAAAATCGTGGAGTGGTTTGGGTTAGAAGAGACCTTAAAGGTGATCAAGCCCCACTCCCCTGCCATGGGCAGGGACACCTTCCACTAGCCCAGGTTGCTCCAAGCCCCATCCAACCTGGCCTTCAACACTTCCAGGGATGGGGCAGCCACAGCTGCTCTGGCCAACCTGGGCCAGGGCCTCACCACCCTCACAAACAACAATTCCTTCCCAATATCCCATCTATCCCTACCCTCTGGCAGTTTGAAGCCATTCCCCCTTGGCCTGTCCCTCCAGGCCCTTGTCCCAAGTCCCTCTCCAGCTGTCCTGAAGCCCCTTTAGGCCCTGGAAGGGGCTTTCAGGTCTCCCTGGAGTTTCTCTTCTCCAGCTGAACACCCTCAGCTCCCTCAGCCGCCGCTCCTGGTGCTCCAGCCCCTTCCCCAGCTCCACTACCCTTCGCTGACACGCTCCATC